ATTTGCGGCACTCTAGAGATGGCGCTAATTTCAACATTTTTATCCTATCTCTGTCCTTCTCTCACTATTTCCTTTCCTTCTTCTATATTTGATCCGTAAAACTCTCGCGCTCAAAAGATGGCTTTGATATTTGATTAGTTTTCTTTTTAGTTTTCTAATTCATAGATTAGAAATCTTAATTGATTTCATTCGATTCGATTTTTTTTAAATTTTTTTTAAATTTTATATATGCAATATATATTATATATTATATTATAATTGCGTATTTATATCAGACATATTTTTAATAGAAATACTTGATTTTTTAATATGAATTTTTTATTCGCTGATTGATCGTTGATCACTCTTCGTGGTAAATAATTTTAAATAATTTTTGTATGCAGCTAAATTTATCGATATTGCAATAATAAAGCCAATAATAAATAATAACAGCAATAGAACAAGAATTAATAATCGAAAAATAGAAATAATAACATGAACTATTTCAATTATTAACCGATTAAACCGATAATTATTTTCGAAAAATAGATATTCGAATTACCGTGCTAAACATTATTACCAGACATAAACCGTTGACCAAAATTTGGTTTCGATTATCTTTTCGACCACTTTTATTAATATTTTACGATACCGCTATAAATGAGCATCGAGCTCGCTGCATTGTTTTTCGCTCGAAGCTCTCCAATATCAAGCGCGTCATTTGATTTTCCAAACGTTAAAATAGAGTCGAGAGAAAGCTAAAGTCAACCAATCCGGAGGAAAACTTTATCTCGTAATCATGCGATATCTATGCGAACGACGCTATACAAATAAATACAGTGTAAACGGGATCGTAGAATAATAGAGGATAACAAATTATAGATGATATACGTATGTACATAGCCCATTGCGGAAGAGACCGGAAGCCATAAGTGAAGGTTAGAAATACTATCGATTATACTGGTGAAATTGAAATGAAACGAATTTCGTCGAACGATAACAAGATAAATAAGTAATTAACAACATAATATCGGTTATCGATAATTCCTACGATGCACAAATCATTATTCGGATAAACGTATCGCCAATTATTTTATAGATTTTCTCTTCATCCCGATATTGGCCAATTTCTCTCTCATTCTTTGGTTAGGAAAATTTTCGATACACGTGTAATCACGCTGGTTTACGCGCTCACGCATCTTTGACAAGGGAAAAATGATGTACGATAAAAATATCGCCGCGTGAAACGAGCGATCGTACGCGTTGGTTACTGGAATGATTCGATAACAATGACCCAATGGCTGTAAATCAAACGAACGCATGCAGCGCGCGTTCAACTGGCTGTTTCGAGTGTATCATACGGTTTCAGCTTCCTGCATAAAGGTTTACGTATTCGCGTAATATAATCGGCCATTGGCCAAGCGTTTGAAATAGTAAGTTTAAAACGGTACACGTACAGATCCACGCAGACAAGATTAGTACACTACTGATCGAGGTTATAAGCTTATCAAGTTTGCGCAATAGCATTCCCATTTCTGATTACATTTCTGTTAATTCCATATTCATTCCGGATAATATGCATAGGATCACTTCGATTTATCGCCGTTTATTGATCGCGTGTCTTTCACGTTTATTATTGTTGGTTAGGTCTCGAACTTAACCTATAAACACTTTTCACTGTGCGTCATCACGCGAACATTTTTCGCCCAATTATTACTCACTGATCAGACTTCGACTGATAATATACCCATGAATATTTTTATATCACGCAAAACACGTTTTCGAGCGTCGTCACGTTGTCGCGAGCTTATTGTCTACGCTTTTTCGCGGGGAAGAAGTGGTTGCGCGCGACGAAATTCGCTCATCTCCTCTCGAGGTCTGAACCATATGGCAGTCGAGCACACAATCACGTCGCAATAAAGCAGCCTACGATAAACTAACGCCGTGTATTGACAGAGAGTACTAGATATATCGCTTTTGTCGACGATATTACGTCGTTGTGAATCGCAATAACAACCACGAGCTTTGGATTTTTATTCGTTTGCCCGTTTGTTTGCATTCTTGTTCGTTCATTTGTTTATTTGTTTGTTTGTTTGTTTGACTGCTCGCTCGCTCGCTCGCTCGCTCGCTTATTTGCTTATCGTCCCTCTTTCCTCCCTTCTCCCATCTTTTTAACACGTCCTTTCGAAATTGATCGAAATCGAAACACAAGTTATGCTTCATGAACAATGAAATTTTCACCTTTTTGTTGTTTATATCGTAATTTCATCGAACCTGAGGGTTATTATTTTATTCTTATTTGTGAAAACGATAGTTTCATGTCACGTCAGGATTAAACAACGAACTTAACGTTTCTCCTTTCATTTGGTAGATCGTATCTTGGAATCGTGTTGCGTTAAAGAAACCAGATTAAACTGTAAGTCGAAGTCTTCCTTCTTTTATTTGTCGACTAACTTTCTGTTGTTGATCGAGCTGTTCGAGCTTTATTAAACCTTTTCTCCTTAGATACGCTACTCGAAAGTAATTGCAATTTATACAATTTTGGTGTTTTTATAGAGGTAAACTAAGAAATCAGAGAGTTACATTTTGTTATCGCGTCCTCTTATTTTTTTTCTTTTCTTTTTTTTTTTTTCTTCTGATCTGAGAAATTAAGGAAGGAAATATGTAACGATGACAAATGAAGGTTTCATTAACCGTCTGGTAAAGAGGATTTTCCTGTTCAAATTTTATATATAATCTTTTCCAACACGTAAACATAATTAATATTTTTTACAAAATTAGATGTTGAGATATTAAGAATTTTTGCAATCATTCAATATTCTTATCGATTTCTACGGAAATTTTAAAGAGATAACTTGTACAACGATATTGTTGTGTTTCATTAAAAAAACGATTCATCATAATCATCGTTCATAAGTTTATTCGTAAACGTATTTTTACAACAATTTATATTTATATCGTTCAAAGTATAAAGTATGAAAATGTAATAAAGTATAAAAATTTCTCCTCAAAATGCTTCCCTTCAAAACTTTGAACGTTATATCTCCTATTACAGAAGGTCTATACAGATCTTTCGTTGATGAAATAGATTTTTGCATAACAAATTTTAAATAACAAGTATTCCGAAGATTACAAATTGTATCATAAATAGCTTTTACATTATATATAGACATCGTTGTAGAATATTCTTAGTGGCAATGCATAACGAAAATATAACGTTATAAATTTGTATGTAGGGCGGAATGGAGTCGAAAATAACTCGTTTAAAAAATTCAAAAATTATCATGCACCATAATAGGTAATCTTGCCACGACGTGCACGACTGGAAATTAAAATTCACAATGATTTTAACAATATGGAATTAAGTAATAGATTCGAGTTTCTTTCAATCTCTCTAATTTTACGTATTTTCTATGCACAATTTTCTATATAACCAATTTCTTCTCTCTTCTGTTTCACGAAATTTTATACACGCGATATTGGCCACGTGGATAAATCTTCCATTTAGAGATATCAATATACGATTGCATAATTCGTGAAAGTCAAATCTTTGTATCAAAGCGTAAACCACAATTTTTGTTTGGCGATCGGCGGAAATAGAGGTGGTCTCGGGTAAAACAAGTTTGCAACTCGATGGAACAGATTTGTTCAAAACCCTTCTCTCAGCGAGACGCTGTTGCGCGATCGAACAGATAGGGAGATCATCTTCTCCCGTTTCTTTCACCGGATATGGAATTCTTCTTTTTCTTTTTTTTTTTTTTTTTTTTTTTTTTTTTTCTTTTTTTTTTTCCCCCCTCTCGTAGCCAAAGTTTTGCCGCGATAAAATGGCATGCCACTTTTCCCATTCTCGACATTCTTTCATCTTGTGAATTCAACTTTTGGAACTTCAAGTAGCTGCCATTCATCCTTGTAAAACCGTAAATAGTTTGGAAAATTACGCATTCGCCACTGTTTTTTGAAATTAGCGAGAAGCCAAGCGAGAAATTGAATCGTGTAATTTTTCTCGCGGTTAATAAATCGCTGATATGAAAAAAAAAAAAAAAAAAAAAAAAGGAGTTGACCGATGAAAAATATTTTTTTTATAGTATCGATAAAACCGTCGTTGAAACCATCAAAATGATTAAAATTATCATCGTATCGCATCGTTTTAATCACATAAAGCTTGAAAAAGTATGACGTACAAATATTAAAGTAGCTTCGGATACTTTAATGTATTTTTTAAATTTAAAAAAAAAAAAGAAAAAAGTAGTTGACCGATGAAAAATATTTTTGTTATAGTATCGATAATACCGTCGTTGATACCATCAAAATGATTAAAATTATCATCGTATCGCATCGTTTTAATCACATAAATCTTGAAAAAGTATGACGTACAAATATTAAAGTAGCTTCTGATACTTTAATGTATTTTTTAAATTTAAAAAAAAAAAAGAAAAGAATATCGAAATAATCCTTTCATCAAATACCATTCCAAATATAAGGAATATAAATAAGGATCTTTCTAACATTTTCTGTCTCGCTTTGCACCTCGTCTCGAACGAAGAAATTTCACAAAAAATTTCGAGCCAATTATATTTATCTTTATATCTAATCGAAAATACGATTACGTGAAACACAACGTGAAAATACGCGCGCACCTCTTCTTCCTTTTCGAAAGCGAAAGATTTCCGAATCGATTTGTTAAACACCGGATACGCGCGAATTCGATTCGCGTATCGCGACACCGCGTCGCTTTATCACGTCGACTCGGTAGCTCGATCGTATCGCCGCGAACGGGAGCTGTCCAAACATTCCCGTCACGCTTTTATCGCGCGACGCTCGAACGTGAACGCTGTGCTCCGCCGATTCCTCGTGAGCGCGGTTCAATAACTTTCGGATCGCGCGCCACGATATCGACGTTTGGACGGGAATTCGAAAAAAAAAAAGAAAGAAAAAAGAGAAAAGAAAAAAAGGAAGGAGGCGAAAAGGTGACGAGGCAAACCCGACTTTTAAACACCGCCTCTTACTCGTTGGAACGGAGGGGGGAAGGGGTGGGGATGTCAGAAGCGAGATGGAGACACATGCGTCGCGAGCTCGACGGTTTTGTAATGCGATGCTACTACGAGATGGTATCCACTTGTTCGATAATGTTGTTTTGTCGATTATCTCGATATCTCGCGTTATATAGTCGTTTAATCGACGCGGAGATAGGTCAGAACGCGACGAGGCATCTATCGGTCACACCGCCTCGCGATATTTTCTTTTTCGCGCCGGGTTCCATCGCCGCCATGACGGAGGCCAAGGAGAAAACGTGCAAGGTAAGGACTGTCGTCTCGCTTTCGTCGTCTCGAGCTCGAGTGAGAAAGAGGGAGAAAGAGAGAGAGAGAAGAGAAAGTCGTTCGAGAATGGGCTGTCAGATGTCGTGGACGTAGATGGCCGTTCCCATTGGGACATTCCCAATGCCCGCGTTACGGGATATATTCACTTCGAAATTCTGTCCACTAATACACCCGGATCAAGGGATCGATGGTAGGAGACGTGGCTCGCGAAACGAGATCGAGTACGAGTCGTAAAAGATAGGGAGGCCCGTTGGTCGAAACAGTGCCGCATCTGACGAATGAAATCGCGTACGTACGAAGTAGCTTATCTTAGATGAGTAATAGAAAGAAACGTTTCTCGTTCAAGAAATTCTACCGTAAAGTAATTCTACGTAGAAAGATGTATATCGTTCTTTTCTTTCTTTCTTTCTTTCTTTCTTTCTTTCTTTCCATCGATGCATAAAGTCTCGCTCGATAGAAGATATCGCGGCGTAAAGGCTTCGTCCTAAGTGGGGTAATGTAACCGAGTTCGCGTGCGTCTTGATGCGCCGACAAAACAACGGGATCGACCATGCGCGGCGGAAAAGAACAGCGTTTCGTCCGATCTTATCTGTTCCTGGTTTACCGCGCGAATAGATTAAACTGTAGCGATGCTCGTGCCGTTACGCGGGCGATGCTCCGCATCGAATAAATTATACTCGATTAAATTACCCGATTAACCCCTTATTTTTCCCTACGCCTTTTTTAAGGGCCCCGCTTCTTTCTCTCTTTTTATCTCTCTCTCTCTCTCTCTTTCCCTCCCTCTGTTTCTTTCACTCCCTCCAAACTCGTCGTCCGTCGCCGATGATTTATACGATGCAAATATAAGGTAACCCGTGTTATTGGCAGAGGAAGAGGGTTTCTCTCGGAGTCGGCGGTGCCTTGGTGGAGCTGGAGCAGGATCCCGAACGTGGTAGCTGGGCCAATCCCATCGAGTTTGTTCTATCCTGCATCGGGTATGCCGTTGGCATTGGCAATGTTTGGCGTTTCCCTTACCTTGTATATCGTAATGGCGGTGGTACGTATGTATATGTACATATATATACATATATATGTATATACGTATATACGTATGGTACGGATGGCGCGTAGCCTAGCGCACAGCGGAGCTTGCTTGTACGGAGCGATTTTTCCATTCGGGGGAAAAAAGGTCTGCTCGTGCTGCTCTCTAAACAGAGACGGTCACGGGTTGGCAAACGAACTACTGGATTACGCGGGATGATTTATCCTTGTACCCGCTCGTTTTCGCGGAAAAAGAACAAATCTGGGAAGAGGGAGGGAAGGAGGGGAACGGAGCGGAGGTGGAG